CTTTTATGATTTCAGAGCAATATAAATAAGGCAAGTGTTTAAAGTGTCAACACTGTGCTTCATGTTCTTGTTGGGCTCCCACAAAGATAGCACGTGATATATCGGTGCTTCTAAATGCACTTGTTTGTTTGTAGCCCTCTATCAGCTTATCTGGCAAGACTAACGAAGGACAGATATATTTTCCGCTCCCTGCCTGCATCATAGGTTAAATACTGAAATCTTCCATTTGCAGTGATGTGTGGCATTTGAAATTCTTACTGAGAACTCTGGATGCCTTTTTATATGCTAGAATGAAATGTCAGTGGACAATTGTTTCTTCACTACTCTGAACTATGGCTTTGTGCTTGTAAAGGTCAGGCGTTGCAAAGGAGTCATGTTTCTATGGGAATTAGGCAGCCTTGCTGGAAAGTGTTCCATGGGCAAAATGAAGTAGTCCACTTTTTTACTCTTCTATAATGTATTAAAAGATGATGTCTCTTCCCCTTTCTTATTCTCTCTGATACTTGTTACCAGTTCCTTCGGTCGAAGAGCAGGGAGGAACCAACGCAGGTAATTATTAAAGCTTCAGTTTTTACTGTTTCCTCAAAGTATCTGTTGTTTATGCAAGCAGAAATCTTCACCATTAAGTATTGTTTAAGTGATCTGAAAGTCTTTATTTTGCAGATGGCTGGAGAAGACTTTCTGGTCTTGACTCAAATAGGGAGATTCTGTCTGTGAAGGATTACTGGAGTGTGAGACCAAACTTCTCTGAGAGCAAACCACATGTAAGTAACTAATAGAAAGCCTAGGTGGGTGTGAATAATGAGACGTGCATGTGTTATCTTCTTAGATGTGCCTCTGACTTGTAATTTTAGTAATTTACATTAATAACATAAAATGTGGGAGCAACACCCAAGGAATATTACTTTTTAAAATTGGCATTTAAAAAACTGAACAGGAGGTTGTTTCTTGGTTGGTTTGTTTTCATTATTTAGTGTTTCTAAAGTGATTTGATAACAGTTGTCAATCAAATGTATCAGGCATGAACTCAGTTAGGAATCCCTTCTGTACTGGGAACTTGGTCCACTGTATTCTAGGTTGAGCTGGAATAAGGACAAGAATAAACTTATGATTTGCATACTTTCCAAAGTATACCTCCTGGGAGTCATAATCTTAATCATCTTAATAACATATAGGAAGGCTGTGCCCATCCTCTTTCTTTCCTTCACTATCTCCCAATCGTTAACCTTCTTCTAGTCTAATTACACTGTTACTGTGATCAAGTTTAGGCAATTAGCTTCTACATCTGAGTCTTGATAATTCAGTGATTGTGTGGCCAATTCTATTTGAATCTTTTCCCTTACATATTTATGTATTTTTTTGTTTAGACATCTAAATTTCTCTTGGCTTGTTTAGATTTGGTAATAGAAGTATTAATTTATGAGATAGGAATGAAAAATAGCTTGAACTGGATGTAATTCTATTTTAGATTCCTTGGGAGGAGCCATAGTTTATCACATTCAGATTTGAGATTCACTTTTAATCAGATACATCTAACTTTGTTAAGGCATCCTTGGTTTTTCAGCTAGTTGTTATGAAAGCATTTTGCACTCTATTACATAGAATAATAGAATCCTTGGGTTGGAAAGAACCCTGGTACAACCCTTCAAGGGCAGAAATCCTCAGACCACCCTAGACAAATGGCTGTCTAACCTCTGCTTGGAAACTCATGGGTTGGAGCACCCATGACTCCAGGGGTCTGTTCCATTGCTTAATAGATCTCAGGGTCAGGAAATTCCTCCTTATTTCATGTTTGGATGACTGTCTGTAAAGCTTCTTATTGTACCCTTGGGCACTACAGAGAGTATATTTACAACTTCTTCCTGTGATAGCCTTTCAGTGTCTCTCCTTAGCTTTCTTTTCTTTAGGCAAAACATACGTAGTTCCTTTAACTGTTCTTCATGGGATTTAGCCTCCAAGCCCCTTACTATCTTACTTCTTCTTCTCTGCACTCTTTCTAGTTCCTCAGCATCTTTCGGGTATTGTGGCACAAAAACTGGACACAGTATTCCAGGAGCAGTTTGACTAGTGCAGCATAGAACAGAACTATCATGACCCATGATCACACTGTTTATAACTCTGTTGATGCAACCCAAGATTGCATTGGCTTTTTTGGCAGTTGTAACACACTGCTGGCTAATGCTTAATCTGTGGTCTACCAGGACACTCAGATGTTTCTCACAAGTACTACTGCTTAGCCAGGTTCTGCCTATGCTTGTACCTGTGCAACTGGTCTTTCCAACCTAAGTGCAGAACCTCACATTTCTCTCCACTGAACAGTATTTGTGTGGATAGAGCCCAATGTTCAAGTCTGTTTAGATCCCTTGGAACCATGAGTCTGTCTTTTAAGGTGTCAGCAATCCCCCAACTCTGTGTCCTCTGCAGATTTGATGAACATCATTTCTATCCCCCCATCTAAGTCATTTATAAAAAAGTTGAAGAGCACTAGGCTCAGGACAGAATCCCTCCAGGCTTTGTTTAAATGCCTCCAGTGAAGGAAAGTCCACCCTCTCCTGAGGGTTTCATTATAGAATAGCTTTTACTGTTACAACATTTTTATGAAATCTCTTTCCTTGTACCTTAAGTCCATAGTTTCTTAGTCTGCTTCTGGAACAATTTTGTATCTCCATAACAGCTCTTCAGATACTTGAAGCCAGCATCATGTTTCCTTGCTGTCTAAATATACCCAGTGCTTCCAACCATTCCTCTTAAGTTTTTCCTTCCTGCCTCTTATCATATTGGTTGCTGTCCTCTAGGCTGGCCTTTCTAAATTGTACCCAGAACTGGGCACAATATTCTGGGTAACTTGTAATCATCACAGAATAGAGAAAAATGTTGGTTTATCTTAATCCTGACGTATTTCTGTTGTTGCATTTGCAGGTACTATTGGCTTATGTTAGCTTCTGATCCTCCACAATGCCTACATCCTTTTTGCATGTACTTCTACCCAGTATGTCCTCCCTATCCTATAGTCATGCCTCTGATTTTTCCTATATAGATGTAGGGCTTTGTATTTGTTCCTGTTGAAATTAATCTTGGTAGTTTCTGCCCATTTTTCCAGCTTGTCAAGATTCTCCTGAATCCTAATACTGTCCTAAAATGGCTTGCTGAAATTGGCTGTTCTGAAATCTAGTGCACAAGTATGACTATCCTCCAGTTTCTCTTTCTCTAATACTTTGAACCCCAAGATGGTGTGGTGACTTCCTCCCAAACTTCCCACCACTTCTTTCTCCCCTTCTGGATCTTAAAGAGCCTTGTCTCTTTTTCAGCCTTTTCGTCTGCTTGTTCTATAGCAACATAATTACAAATACTATCATTTTTATTGAACTTCCCTCTAGAATGAACATCTTAATGATTTACAATTTAAAACAGTATTTATGAACCTTGATCAAACTGCTGATTGATGGCTAGTCTCTTAAATCCAAGGTCTGGGTATCAAGAGTTTCCATTTACTCTCAGAACCTGAGATAAAAAGATGCAGAAAGTTACGTTTTATCCAGGAAAAGGAAGAACGAAGCCCTTAAAAAAAGGGGTGGCACCTACACAAGAATCCATCCCCTCTAGGCATGCCACATAGCCAAGAGAAGAGGTGGGGATGAGCAGAGAGTCCTCGCCCTGCTATATCAATGAGCAGCAAAGTACCATGAAGCTTGTAGAGGCTGATTCCAGTAGCAAAGCTGGCTTGAATTCCAGTCTACATCAGAAATAAATTCCAGCTACAACAGTACTGTACTACAAAAGTGCAGTAGTTGATAAGTGGCTTATTATCTAACAATACCTGCCCATTGCAGTTGAAAAAGCAGCTCTTTTGCAGATGAGTGTCCAAACGGAAGGCATCTGTTTTGTAGCTCAAAAGGTATCTCTGGCACAGGTGAGGTGCCTTCCTCCTCCTGCTTCTCACATATATTATATCATCATCATCATCATCATCATCATCATCATCATCATCATCATCATCATCATCATCATCATCATCGTTATTTGGTGCAAGTCATCCAATCAGGACTCCTTTGCAAATTGACTGCACAAAGCCCCTAGGCTGGCACTGGGAATATGATTAAAAAAGCCAAAGGTTTCTCAGCCGCATCCACACAAGGCAAGAGATACAACAGAGAACATGGTATTGTTTCTAATATTTCTTTCTGTTTTAGACAAGGGTAAATGTAGCAGCTGGCACAAAGCTGCCATTATGTGAGGACAGAGGGTAATTTAAGTTGATCTGTTGACTGCTGATGACACTTGAGAGCTGTGTGAGAAGTTGTCATCTGTGTAAAATTTGCTGCTTCAGAAAAAGGCTCCTCTCATGAACAGCATTTTCCTTGAGGTAGGGTCTTTGAATGTCCTGCACCTCTCTACTGTTGCTATCTCAAGGTATTGTCTCCCACAGGATGCCACTTCCTCTCCCACCACCTCAGTTCAAACTGAGATCATAACAGGGCCATTCCAACAGATTCAGCCAGGCAGAGAAGAATCCAGCCCAAGCACACCATCGGTGCCTCTCCGCCATTTTGACCAAGGTTTAGAATTTTCAAACAACGTGTCTCCTGGTTTCCTTCTGGCCCTTCCAACGCTAGATGATTTCATTCCCCCTCACCTTCAGAAAGCTCCCAACCACCAGCACCCATTGTTTTCACCTCAGACTGTGCTACACACTCATGCAAAACTGCCTTCACTCTCATCACCACCTCCTCTACTGATCCCTCCAGCCACAGAAATCTCAAGCAGCATCTTGGAGACTGAAAGCACAGGAATGGTCTTTCAAACAGTAAGCCTTATTACACCAATCCTGACTCTACTGCTAAATAAGTATACTTGGGTTGAAATCACCTTTCACTGGCATACTAAACTTGGACTTTGTCACTCTTTGATAGTAGCATGATCACTGAAATTTTGCTTCTGTCCTGTGGCATGTGTATTTATTTGTCTCTTCTGGCCTCAAAACTCTTGCCTTGTATGATATTCCATTCTATTCTTTCCTCTTTTTTTTTTCAGATTTGAAAATTCTGTATCTTCAGCTGTAACCAGTATGTTACAGCCAAGGTACATGATAGAGGCCTCAGATCAGGGATGGGGAGCTTATTAAATGTCCATGAGTTTTTCCCATCTTCTCAGGAGGTTCGTCCCTACAGGGCAGCACCTTCCTCCATGGAAAGCACAGAGTGTTCCATCCATGTCTCTCCTTCTATACTGAGAAAATGATTGAATCAAATATTTTGCAAGGAGAGGAAAGAATTAGCTTGTTTTTCATCCAGGGAGTGGCACAGAGAAGTTTTCCCTTCCCTCTGAAGGGAGAAAAGGGCCATCCTAAATGACACAGGAAGAGCCTTCTTCAGATATCATCTGGCTTGCTAGACATATCCTGGGAAATGATCCAGATCTCGGGCCAGGTGGGCTTTAATACTCATGCCTTAGGTTAGGAGTGCACAATTTGGGGAGGCTGCAATGCAGGTGTGAAGTGGGACCACTCAGAATGATTATCACAGGACACCTGCCTGTTCATGAAATGGCTGTCCTAGAGGAGATAGCCAGCCACAAAGCACCCCACTTGGCTGAAGGCAACGTAGGCCTAAATTGCTCTCGCATATCATTGGATTTGAGTTAGGTGGAAGTATCTGGTGTCTTAGGACACCTTACCTTTCCTTTCCTTAGAATATACCATGCCAGGAAAGTTAGAAAACATGCAGTGCATTATTTGTGGAGTAGCCTTTGACGATGGACCAGAAATATAGCCAGAGTGCAGTAGAAGGGGTGGTGATTGGATGTGGCAGCTTCTGCTACATTTACAACCAGTATTAAATTCTGTTTTATCCATGGTGGAGCTTCATCATGGAACAAACTGATCTTGAAGTTGAGTGGGCTTGAAAGCCAATGTTTTTATTCAGGCTTTTAAGAGGTGTTTAGGAGGGTTGTGCTGTTGATTTTGAAATCTATTTCCACCCATAAGTGGATTCCAAATGAAACTAATACATGCAAACCCTCATCATGTGTAATACTCTTTGAATTTGCATCCTCACAACATTATCAGCCCTTTGTGAGTGAAGAATAGCAGTTCATACAATTTTTATTTATCTGCCATGCCTGTTTACTTTTGCAGGATACATACAAACATATACATAAAGTCCAGCTTCCCACACCTTACCCTCTGGGCAGATGGACAATGATATGAAGTTTGAACAGTCCTCTTCTCTCTGGACCAGAATATCTCTTCCACCCACACTGTGCTTGGTGTGTGTGGCCTCACCGTCAGCTCATCCTGTCTGAGCATCACTATTAGCTGTGGTATGATAGTGGATGGGCCATAGGGGCAAGGCAAAAGTGGTGGGGACTGAGGGACGGTGGCTGAATCCCACTGCATTTGAGATGATGTAGGGACTAGGGAATGCATAGGATCTCTATTAAGTGTGAGCATCATTGAAGTACTGCTGCAGGCCTGAGAAAGAGACATCCAGTGAGCCACATCTGTCTCGCAATGTGAAGAGCATCAGTCAGATGATAATGAGTGGGAGAGACATGCATTCAACCACATTAGTCTCTTCCATATGTATTCACCTCCCACACATTATAAGCAAAGATTCTTCTCAGTGTGATTCACTCAGATGAATCATTGTCTAGTTATGAATTGTAAGAAGTCTGGTAGCATCTTTTTTAGCTAATAAATTTTAAGGGATAAGCTTTCATGAGCTGCAGCCATTAAATTGTAATGAGGTGGGTGGTGGAAGAAAGGAAGAAGACAAGCGTTTATGCAGATGCAGGTTACATGTAAGACAGATAACAAGTACCTTATCAATTAACAATTGTAATGTATTATGTTTGTTGAGACCTTCAGAGATAGACTGAAACCTTTTGATGTACCTGAGTTCAACAATCTCCCACTCAATAGTGCTGGTGAAGTTTCTTTTTTCCAAGATGGGTACTTTGAGATCTATAATGGAGTGTCCTGAGGGTTGAACTGTGCTGATATTACTTTGTCCCTGTTTTAAGTCCTGATGTCAGATGTGTGCATAAACACTTTTGCACAAAGCTTGTCTTATTTGTCCTAGATAGAATACAGAGGAGCACTGTGGGCAGATGGTAGTATATATCACATTAGAGGTAGAACGTGTGAAGGTGAATCTTGCGTGTGAGCCTAATCACTTGAGCCTGTGATGATGCTCTTGGTGTATGTGTAAGTCAGTGTAGACATCTGGATTTGTTGCACTGTTTGATTCCCATATTAGGATCATTGTTCTGTTGTTTCTTGTTCCTAGTGAAAATCTGCTTCAGGCTGGGTAGTTGTCTGAATGCAAGTATGGGCCTGTCACCCAGTGCTGAGAAAGAACAGTGCCATTGTCAAAGATTGGTTGTCGTCTATTAATAATGTATTTCAGTAGCTTGAGGTGTGAGGTGTAGGTGATAACCAGTGGAGTTCTGTTGTTCTGATTTTGTGGTCTTTTAATAGGTCCTTCCTGGGAATTATTCTGTCTCTATTGATTTGTCTGTTGATCTTGTTGGGTCATAGCTCAGTCTCCTGAATGCCTGGTTTAATTTCATCAGCTTTCTGTCAAGTGAGCCAGAACAAATGTAGAGTAAAGCCTGACTATAGATGATAGATTTGGTGGTGAGCTCTGGATGGAAGCAGGAAGCATATAGGTATGCAAGATAGTGTGTAGGTGTCTTGTATAATTAGTGTTCATGTGTCCATTGTATAGGTTTACCATGACATAAAGGAAGTGGACTTTTTCTGTAGGTAGGTCAAGGTTGAGGTTGACAATGAGGTGAAAAGTGTTGAGGTCATGATGGATTTGATGAGAAATTATTTTCCATGGGTCCAAATAATGAAACTGTATCAATGAATTTCAAGTAAAGGAGGGGCTTCCGGGTGGGACTTAAGAAAGCATTGTTCTCGGACAGCCATGAAGATGTTGGTATATTGAGGAGCAATATATTTGCTCATGGCTGTGCCACTTGTTTGCAGGTATAGATTATTGCCAAAGGTGAAGTAGTTATGGGTGAATGCAAAGTCACACAGTCTAATGATTAGGCATGGTGTACTGATATCAGCAATGATGTTCTTGATGGCTTGAAGTCCATGTTTGTGGGGGATGTTGATATATAGTGCCTAAACATCCGTGGTGGCTAAAATTGTGTTATTAGGGAAATTGCCCATGGATATCAGTCTACTCAGGAAGTCTTGTGTAGCCAAGAGTGCTGGTGACATGAGCTTTGAATATAGAGTCCATGAATCCTGATATTCCAGGTCTGTTAGGCTAATGTCTCTCATTTTACAATGTCTAGTTATGAGTATGACCCAGATGCATTAGTGTTGGAGGGGCAACCTTACCATTGACTATATGTTGGCAGTAGGCAGGTGGGTAGGTCTGGAGGACTCAGTGCTCTGTTAGATTGGGAAAGTCCATCAGGAAGAAGTTCAGGTTAAAAAAGACAAGGTGCTCCATCAAATCAGCATGCAGGTATGAGTGATAAGTGTTACCATGCCACTACCTGGAGAACTCTTACTGAGGATCCTGGTTGATGGGTACCTGTTACAGGTCTGTTTGTATGCTGGGGTTGGTCACCTAACCCCTGGAATGTCTCATGCTTTCATTTAGGCATGATAGGTGAGCCAGTCAGTAGCATCCGGCAGTGCATTAAACATGCCCCAGAGGGGTTTGGCATGTCTGAGCTTGACCTAGGGTCTACCATGCCAATATGGGGACTGAAGCTGCTCCTGCTCCTACTACTATAACTATTAATGGATGGTACAGCCCTATCTCCCTTCCTTCAGTCTTGGACACTTTTGCAATCAGGTTTTCTGTCCATGGAAGGTTATTGCCATTGTAGATGATGCTTCCCTTCATCCTTGGATCAGAGAGGCTGGCAAGCTAGATTGAAATACAGACATAGCACATTTGAACTACAGTGATGTGGGGTGGGGTGGGAAGTTGTCTCAAACTCAGGAATGTAGATAGACCCTTCCCAGCAAGAGGATCAGCCTCCAGTCACAGGTTCCTTCAGCTTCTCCTCTCGTGGTCTCTTCCTGGCAGCAGAGTCCAATCCAGAATGGCTCCTCACTCAGCCAGGGCTGTGCTCTCACAGTGGCAACTCCTCCGGTCCCCCAACATTCTACCTCCTAGGTCACCCCACTGAATCTCAGGTAGTAGCAGCTGCTGAACTGGTCAAGGTATAGATAATTTACTTTGGAGCAGCAGCAAAACACAAGACAGCGTTCCAATTGTGGATTATCTGGAAGAGTGCAGAACCCTTAAACAGTTGCCTTTGGTTCTCAGCTTGGAAGAAAACCTTCAGATGTTTTTGGTTACAAGCTTGGGGAAGTTCAGAATGGCTATATGGGCTCAGACTGGTTCATGCTTGAAGCATTATGTGTATTTCTACCACAACAAATAAAGAGTTTTTGTCAATAGCTGTGGTTGACCAGATTTTTATCGGTCCCCAAGCTGGAATGGGTCACTACCTTGTCTTTGTCCTGGCTGACTCTACGTTCCTACTCCCCCACATAGTCCTGGTTTTACTAACATCCTGCTGGCTAATTGCTTGTGAATAGTAATGCCAAGCCTATTTTCCAGACCTTCTTTCTAAAGTAGACAGTGTTCATCAAGGAATTGCATGAGGCTTGCATGTGCACAGACAACAGCTCACTCCTGCCACCAACTCTGCATCCTGTTCTTTCCCTTTTTCTGGCGCAGAATGTAATCACTCATTCTTTTTTCTTTACTTGCACCAAGAAAGATGCTATGTGAAAGCAACATCTTGTGCTGGTGGGTTCTGTTAAACCGTTCCACTTGTTTCTTTCTTTCTGGTTTTTTTTCCCATTGCCAAAACGGCTTGCAGATATCCCCCAGCCCTCTTATGCAGTAATGACATTCACCCTTCTGTGTTTCAGGACACCTGCCCCCACCCAAATGAAGCCTCTAAGCCCAGTGGTGGTCCTGCTGCCTCAATGACGATCAGCAAATCTTTGGGTGCATACCCTTCCACCACAATTGTCAACCCTACAATTGTCCTTTTGCAGCACAACAGAGGTAAAAATGAAAGCAGCTCTTCTTCCTGGTTCATATTTCACTAGGATTATTATTTGATGGTGGGGGAAGGGGGTTGCCATCATGAATCTGGGCTGGGAGAATGGGGAGTAACCCCTAGCTTCCTGTTTCCTAAGAGACAAACCAAACAGCAAAGTAAAGGAGAAAAAAAATGCCAAAATTATCTAGCCAATATAATGCCAATCACAAAAAGAGAAACGTAAAAGGCAGTCAAAATCTGTGTAGGTCTGAAGTAAACTTTATTGTGTAATAAGCCAAATGAAGTTTGACACAGTTCACATCAGTGGCCTTTTATAATACAACTGTAAAAAAAAATGCTTCCTAAAAAGATTGAGAAAAAAAAAATCAGAAATTGGAAACTTGTTTTCTGAGTTTGGACTACAGTTACACCAACTTGCATCCCACTTAACTTTCATTGTACATTCTGCTACATAATCGTTCTTGTGCCACTATGCAGCAGTTGTTCTGTTTCTTATTGAACAGTGAAAGATTTCTTACCAGTTGGCGGGAAATGGATATTTATAGAACAGAGGAAGAAGACATGAGAGAAGACTGAAGAGGTGGATTGCCTTTGGGTTTCTGGGTCCACAAGCTGGAAAAGGCCTTCCCGTTTTAATGTCTAGAAGCCAAGCTGCATTTAAAACTCTGAAACCTGACGTAGTTATAAAAAGTAGGAAATTATGCTGTGGTTACAGAGGAATCCATGTAGTTTGTTTAGTGAGAAGGAGACATCCAAGAGCGTGTTGTGCTGTCCTGCCCTCAGGGAAAGCTGGCAGTCACAGGACAGGTGTCCCTGTCTCTGCTAATTTAAACAGCAAGTTTGGGCCTTTTCCTGTCTCTGCCCAGGATGCAACTTCTGCATTCTGCTTTTTGGAAGGACAATTAACTTTGGGTTTCTACCTTTACCTTTTTACTCAGTCCCTGCAACTCTCCTTTCCTCTTAATTTTTTCCAGTTACTTTACTTTAATCTTGTTGTTTGCCTCTTCCTTTTTACCTGGTCACTATTCTGATTCCTAAAGATCCAGGAAGGAAGGCAGGCAGGCAGGCGGGGAGGGAGGGAGGGATCTGCATGTGCATGTTTGAAAGGCATGCAAAGAGCACCCACTGTGATCTTACAAGTCTTTTGCACCCATGTCTTCTGTGAAGCCCATTCAACTGATTGTGACCATCATGAAGATAGCAAAATGCTTAATTCCATTGTTGAACTCAGAAGAAGTTGGAATCTGCATGCTAAAATGAGTAGGAACTTAGCTAGGGTAAATCTCAGCCCCATGTCTATAACTTGATACCTTTTTTTTTATGATTAAACAAGGCATTATTTTTAGAGGGAGAAGTAGGCTGCTCATTTACATTTGTTCTATGCAACCTTGAACAAACAGCTGGGCTATGTTCCTCCCCAAAAATCATGTGATGACCAGGATCAGGATGTGACAGACATCATAAACATACGAAATGTGAAAATCTTCCTTTAACTCCTTTCCATCTACCACTCCCTAGGCAGGGAAAAACGGAGGCTAAAAACCTTAACATTCCTCTGAAGAATGTTATGCTGCCTCTCTTAATCCATGTATGCTATTATTTGGCAGACTTCTATCTCTACCAAAACAAAAGAAGGACAAACCATGACAAGTCATTTGACTTTGTTCAGAAAATGGATTATGGAGGCTGACTTCTGCTCCAGTCTATCTACAGGTAGTCCTCAAGTTACAACGGCACTGAATGAAGGGACTTACAATTGGTCCTCAAAGTTCAGGCTGTTGCAGAGCCCTCTCGTTCACATGATTGTCATTTGCAACCTTCCCTGCTGCTTCCCACAAGCAAAGTCAATGGGGAAGCCAGCAAGGAAGGTGGCAGGGAAGGTTGCAAGTCTCTTGGGTAAGTCTTCCCCCTCCCCCCCACCCTTCACTCACATACACCCTGCACCCTCTTTCCCCAGCCTCCCTGTGCTTGCACGCACCCATGCCCTCTTTCCCCAGCCTTCCTGAGCTCACACCACAGCACTCCCCGCTCAACTTGCGTGTGGCCTGCGCAGGGCTTCTCCTGCCCCCCAGCAGCACCTCCGCGCTCCTTACCTACAACTCCCTCTGCTTCCCACTTAACAACCCCTGCATCTTGGGTTACAACAACAGTCATGACTGCCTGGATTGCCTGCGGTCACATCACATCATGCTTAGGACCAGGAAATCGTAGATGGTTAGAACTTGTCCCTTGTGATTTCATGAAGTTCTGTGAGAAAGACTTTCCTAACTGTTCTTCATATTTAAAGGTCTGAAGAGGGCAGTTCTCAGGCTCCTTCAAACTGTACCTTTCTTCATTTGGGGAATGGTGATGAAAGAGGTCCACTCTTATGGGCTGGGTATGTCTGGATCTGGCATTGCTGAAGTTCTGGATCTTAAAAAGAAGTTTGGTTTTAGATTAGAAGGACTTAGTTGGTGCTGTTGTGAATGCAACATTTATGTGATATTGTTGCACACTTATCAAATAATACAACAAACATTTACTAACATTCTTTTTGGTCTAGTGAATCCAGACATAAACCAGCGTGTAAATAAGCCAGGATTGATATCCAGCTGATGTCTGATCCTCCTTCATGCCTCTTCTGAGCCATGCTAACACATGTTCCTCATTATACTTTTCTACTAAGATTCAGATCCTTCCTTGACTCTACATGATTGTCCATCAGTAGAATGGGGAAGAATCTTCAGACACAGGTTCCTTCCTGAAGAATCACAAATAACATGATTCTGCCTTTCCTGGGTAGTAAGTGGGCACAGCTTGTTCTTGGATGCTTCCATCACAACAAACTAGAATAGATCTTTGTGATGGTTTGTGTTAAATGTTCCAGTTTGAGTCTTGCATCTGACTCTTAATTCAGTAAAGGTACAGCTATATATTGCTCCGAATGTGCATCATATGGAATTCAATAGTACTTCCTCTTGAATACACGTATATGGGGGGCACTGTAAGGCAAGCCATTCTCACTCAGCCTTGATCCCCTATCTGTGAGTGTAGACTGCCTGGTGCTCTCCAATGTTTTGGGCTTCAGTGGCCATCAGACAGTCAGACAGCATTGCCAGTGGCAATTTATTGTTGGAGCTTCAAACAAGGATGATGTCTATGAAGCACTTGGAAAGATCTGAGGATTTTTAGCTTTCTGATTTGGTGAAAATGTTTATGCATGTTAAATTATCTGAATCAACTGTTTAAACATGTTGCTCATCCATGATAATATGGGACACTTGCTCAGCACTGCTATTTAAAGGGCAAGGGGGTAAAAAATATGTTGGTTTTGATGGAATGGTGGTAGGGTGTTTGAGCTCTTGAGATTTAGTTCAGCAGATTGAGGATGTCTATCAAGAGTTGAGGGTACTCAGCATCTTGGTTCCAACCACTTATTTGTCTTTTCCCCCCCTTTCTTTCTCACAGCAGAACAGCAAAAGAGGCTTAGTAGCCTTGCAGGTATGATGTCCCAAATATTGTTTTTCTGTTTCCAGTTATCGTTGTTTCTGCTGCTGTATTCAATCAAGGAAATACTGCTTTTTATCTAGTAGAGCATCATTAGTGAATCTGTAAAGAAAGAGCTGCAACTCAGGGGTCAAGAAGTTGTACTTAGTTTAGTGATGGTGACACATTCATGTTACTTTTCTCCAGAATTCCATAAGGCAATCTTGGAAAAAGTAAAGACTGGGCCCACCACTTAAAAAGAGCTTGAAATATCCTCCATACATCAGAGTTACATACTTACTCATTATCAGTTGCCCTTTTCATCTTCCTGCAGCCGTTTTGGCCTCACACCAACTTGAGCCAATTTCTGGGAAGAGCTTTAAATTGGAGACAAGTAGTTTGCCCTAATTTCCATTCCTACAACCATAACCCTGATTTTTGTTGAAGATACTTTTAGATAAGGGTAAAAATTCCATCGAGTTGAGATTAACTCCTGGTGACCACACACATTCATGTTGTTTTCTAACACATCACATAGAAGTGGTGTACCATTGCCTTTTTCTGTGATATTTTTGAATTCCCAGTTAAGCCTACAGCCCTGCAATTTCTTAGTAGTCTCCCATCCAAGTACTAGCCGGAAGTGACTACTTGGCTTTTTTGAGATCAGCCAGTATTGGCTAGGCTCTGCTGTTGACTCAGGCTTGGTGACTACATGGACATGTCCACATAACTTTCTTGTCAACAATGTGGCAGTTGTTTATCGTCTTTATCTTCCAAGAAATTGTTTTTTTATTATTTATTTTTAACTTCCAAATTCAGCCCACAGCCCTGAGATTTATTTATCTGGGATGCTTAAATTTGGATTCCTGCACTAAGCAAGGGATCTGATTTTGTTACAAAATCCAGCTTTTTCAAACTGTGTTCTGTAGAACCCTTAGGTTCCATGAGAACTTAATGGGCTTCTTGGTGAGACAAAGGGCCTAGCCCTGCCAGGGAGGAGCCTGATACCATCCTCAATCCAAAATGATCTCTCTCTGTATATATCAAGGCACTTAAAGCTGTGCTAGAACTTTCCAAGTGTAAGCTCTGATCTTTACCATCCTAGTTTACATGTTCAAAACACATAATTTTTGTTTTTGTTACATCTATTAAGCCAATGACTCAGTAATCAAAGTGATTTTGGAAGGCTGCTTTTCCTAAGACTTGGAGCTGGACAAAAATCCAGATGACTGCAAAGTGTCAGCAAAGTGTTCTCTTTGCTTGAATCTAATGATCATCTGGAGTTTTGCAGCCAAGTTCTGGCAGCCTTGCCCTAGTTTTGGCAGAATGACTTGTCTGCTGCCTTTCTATATTAGCATCCAACATTTTCAAGTCATCTTCGTTTGTTAAGAATATGAAGAATTTCATATTCAAAAGCAGGTGGAATCAGTCTTTTTGTTTACTTAAAATATTTGTAAACTGTCATTGAGGGGAACTATTCCAGAATAATTTATAGAGGTATGTTAGAATATTCAGCTAATTAGCTCTAGATTGGATTTGCTCACGGTATTCTGTAATGAATGCAGACTGTATCGCATGAAACTTGACTGCACAAGTTTAATTTCCATTCAGAACAGTAGGTTCTTGAGCTCACAATGCATGTTCTTAAGCATGAGTATTTTGCTTTTTTCCACTGCAATATCACAGTTGCTGAAGCATGATTCATTTTGGATGAATCAGCTTACGATCCTTCTCCATTCTGAAATCTTTCAGGAGAATTTGACGGGAGTGAAGCTTAAAGGATGTGCATTGTAATACCATGTTACATCACAGTAGCTAACTCTGAATCCATTGCTAGGCCTGTGTGGTGCTTTTTGATCTGAGAATCAATGAATAAGGCCCCAAACTTAAGAATAATCTAATTTGCAAAGTGGTTAGAATGCACTGTTAAATGAAATGTGGAAGAGATATTTTCTCCCCTAAAATTCCTTCTTTATTCAATCATGTTGAAAATTACACTGTTTTAAAACAGTCAGATACTTCATTTGTATCTCACCAGGGTTCTGATGTTAAATATTTTATAGCAATGGTGAAAGTCTAGGTGACAAACCTGCTACTTTTGTTTACAGATCCACTGCCTGATCCACCAGTCACTGCTAAAGCAGATGATATATCTGTTCGACAACAGTTAAATCCAAGCAAGGAAGATGCAATAAAGGAACAGAAGAGAGTTGTTAATCATTCTCAGAATATAGCTGATGATTCTCTGGATCCTATAGGCATTCCACTGAGAGTAAGGAAATATGAAATATTTTCCTGTTGCATCAATTCACCTCTGATGGTCTGTTTTTTTCATTACAGTCAAATTTCAGCATATAAATTGTTTTGTTAGATTTAGTCATGATGTAAATCCATTTAGTGTTTGTATACTTTTATGAACAATAAAGTAGCTGCATGATGTAAAATATTCTGTCTTTAAAAAACTATCCTGTAGTTTCAAACCTTGGAACAGGAATAAAAGAAGGTAGGTTTCTCAAAATGTGTTTACACTTTTAATTCTGGTAGAAGAAATGTGTATGCAATTGTTCTTTTGTAATCCATAGATTTTCTGATAGTGTCCCATTACATTCAAGAAAGATGGTTTCCCCCTCCCCTCCTTGATTGCTTTTGGAGAGTATCCCCTTTCATAGAATCATAGGGTTGGACGGGACCTTGGAGGTCTTCTAGTCGAACCCTCTGCCCAAGGCAGGAGTCCTCATACCATCTTGGACAAATGGTTATCCAGTCTTTTCTTGAAAATCTTTCTTATTAGGCTCTGAGGGCAACAAGCTGCCTTCAAAAGGAAGACACAGAAATATAGCAACCTGCTTTTAATTATGAGTCAGAGTATTTGCCCATTATTGACTATGTTGCTTGGTGTATCTTCAGGGCTTCTAAGAGGGCTTTCCCATAGCCTGGAGGTTCTAGCACTCACAACAGCATTAAATGGTGCAAAAGAGCCTCCAGTTTTAAAAAAATAATTACAATGCACAATCTGACAGTCAAATATTAACTAAACCTCAAGTGTAATAGTCAATTTGGTGTAGTGGTTAAGGCCCCAGGCTAGAACCCAGGAGACCGAGAATGCTAGTCCTGCCTTAGGCATGAAGCCAGCTGGGTGACTTTAGGCCAGTTGCTGATTCTCAGCCCTGAGAAGCAGGCAATGGCAAACCAGTTCTGAAAATCTTTCCAAGAAAACTGCAGGGACTAATCCAGGCAGTCACCAGGAGTCAACACTGACTTGAAGGCACACACAATGCATGCACAACATTTTTAATGTAATCATTTCTTTGTTGTGATATTCCTCTTCAACATTTTTCAAGTGAGATTGCTTAGCCTCTGTGAGGTAGAGCTCCATCAGGAAGTGTCAGAATGGGGGCCACAACACCCAGCATTTAATGGCCAGTGCTTGGGTTTGATTTGTTTGGGTAAAGGTCATGGTCTTTGGGCTGATCTCTTTCCCTCTCAACACAACCTGCCTCCCAGAGTTGTTACTGGGAAAAAATAGGAAGTATAATACTCAGGGTTCCTGTACAAAAGGCAGAATATAAGTCTCATAAATGAAACAGGTTTTTGCTAAACATTACTGTACTTGCTCCTCTCACTTCAGAGCGTCTCTTTGAGAAAAGGTTCTCAGCATGATTGGCTCTACCATTAAGCTGATGTTGAGTCAGCTGCAGCTGTAAGGCCCGCCCCCTCGGATGGTGTGCTTAGATTGTACACTTGGCCAGAAACATGTACCTTCTGCGCCAGAAAGCCACAAACCCTCAGCCATCAGTCAGTGATCCCTTGAGGTCCTTGCCAGACTCTGTGCAGTTAGTGGCACCACTGTTCGGATGGGATGTAGCAGCACCACCCCAAGCACAGGGAACTACAGCCCTTTGCAATCTATTGGCCCAGATCCCATCCCATTAAGATTGCCTGATGACTGACCCTTTTGCCCTGCCCAGATTTTGCACAGGGAACTTATTCTCCTGAGTCTTCTGGATGACCATTCTCCGTCTGGGACAGCATCTCCTTCTGGAGCTCTTAGGCAGAGTCTAAGCTTGAGTGACATCTCTGGAGGGGAGGATCCATCCTCCCTGGCAAATCAGCTGAATTAGTGAGCAGAGCTGCTAGATTTGTCTGAAGCTCAACCTTAGATTGTTTTTTAAAAAAAACAAAAAAACCCTCCCCTCCTCTTTACAGCTTTCTTCCTCCTTTTCTTTACCTGCCGAATAGAGACAGGAAGGGTATGGGGATGTGCAGAAAATGCAGCAACCTCCTTTTTAGATTGAGCTGTTTACCCACAAACCTTTAGAGCTCCTTGCAGCTTCTTCCTAGGGTTTTTCCAAGCTACAGATCAACTGCATGGTGGTGGGGGGGAGCAAGTAGCAGCACCAAATGGGAGAGGCCTCAGAGTCAGCCTGCTGGTGGTTCCAGCATCCAGTGCAAAAGACCTAGCAAAGGTGGGAGGCAGCACAAGGCCACGCTCATGATTTGCTCCCTCCACCTTCTAGAGGAATGAGAGTACCAGAGCACCTCCTGGTAGAAACAGAGGCGGCATACAACTATGTGGAAGACAGTATGCTGTGGAAAGGCAAAATCTAGCTTCACTTTGCTCAGTCTCGTAACAAAATTATGGAGCAAGGACTGGACAACTCCAGTGAGAATTGAACAGCCATATAAACTGACAAAGAGGTTGTATTCTCCTTCCAATGAGATTCTGGAATAATTAAAAGTTCCCTTGATTGATGTGCCTGTATCTGCTCTCACATCCTCCCCTGCCCTTCCAGCAGATGGAGAAGGGGGCCGAAGGACTCTTGCAATAAGAAGACAGAGATGGCTCTGCATAAGATGTTCAAGGCTTCAGCAGCCATCTTTCAATTTCATCTAGAAATTTCTTTGTTAGAGCCACCTAGAGGTGACCTGAAGGCATAGAAAATCTTCCTAAACAAGCAAAGGACAAGCTGAAGAACATTCCTTGTGCAGCTGCTACTGTGGCAGATTCTTCTCTAGATGTGCTCCAGCTTGATGACACATGGCAATTGTGTCAGAATTTAGGAAGAGTTCTGGCTGGCAGCTGGGATGTGGTGCTTGGCATCTATTCCATTTGTGGGGTAAAGGCTCTTGATGTAGACTTGGATGAATCAAAGAAACAAAAGCATCTTCCTCTAACAAAAGAAAAAAAAAACATGAGTGTAAACTTAAGGTGCTGCATTCCTTTAATTTAAATTGATACACATCTAGATGGTTTCAAGGAAGCTCAAGATTTAGATAGCCTGTATCAGGCTGGCATGTATTTTGTCAGCTCAAGAGCTAGACCAAGCCTTGTGTGACATTTTGAGGGTCATGCTCCAAGAGTGAGTTGTACCAAAGCCCATTTTGAAAGGTGGATTTCAGGAGTTTCAAGAGGTGGGTTTTGTTCCCTAAAATCTTCCACAAATATGAAGAAAGAGACCAGATTTTGGACACCTGTCACTCAAGGGTTTTGGAGGCCACAAACAGTATATTGGTGAGCTACATGAAACCCCTAGTGCTCAGTTTTTGCACCCCTAGTCTAAATTGTACAATTTTCCTCATGAAATCTACAGTACTTATCCTTCAACATCAGCTTCCAAATTTTCCAAAGGCTATAAGAAGTGATTCTTGGTATAATGCCAAGCTGAGGCAGAAGTATACCAGAGAATAGTTGTAGAATTTTTCCCCATTTGGCCTCAGCCATGAATGGTTGTGGGTATGGAGGTTAGTGGTCAAAGACTATATCTAGAGTTTGTTTGGAAGCTAAGAATGATATTTATAGCATTGCCTTTCTCAAGACAGCTGTCAAGACATCAGTTTCTCAAGGCCATCAACTATCCACTGGAGATAATGTGACAGAGACAGTGCCAAAGCAATAATACAATCTAAAAATTGGTCATTGTTATTTTGGTGCCTAAAACTGATGGGGACAGAAGAGCTATACGGTATTTAAAGTAGCTCAACAAATAGAATTTGGTCAAAAAGAATTTGGAGACTCTTTGAGTGATCATCTGTGAATTCACACAGTTTGCCCCTCTTGCCTTCAAGGATGATCCACCTTGCTTTCAGATGCTTGGTGATCCTCCAAACTCAGTGGATCCCTGCCTTGCCAAGCTACATTCCCTGAAGATTCCTGGCCCTGGAAGATTCCAGACGGGTTATTGCCCAGGCCTAGAATCCCATAAGTGTGAATTCACAGATGACCACTTGATGATCTACAGTTACAGGTAAACAGCCAGTTCTTATGACAGCTGCACCAATTCACATTACCTTAATGCCTACTTTTTGGTCCTAAATGTGTGATAGCAAGACTGCCTGTAGCATCAGTCCATGTAATATGTATTTATTAGCTATTTTTACATTTGCCTTTCTACTGTCACAGTATTAATTTGGTGGACTAATCTGACATTGAACATGCAGTTTGGCAGTCCAGCTAAAAAGAACACAATCAGTGCCAAAGACCACAAAAGCTGAAGATTTTGATTTAGATAAATCAAACGATGCAACATTATTATGAAAGGTCAACTTGAGAAATAACAAGAAGTGAAGTGGATGGCATTTAATAAAGGGATTTGAATGGAATTAGAACAATGATGAGGAATCTCTGGGTGGCTCTTGAGGTACTGCTGGCTGTGTGACGGTAGGTGCTGCAGTAACATCTGGGGGACTGCAAAGTCTCCATGCTTGTATTAGAATTGCATTGGCAAAACACCACGATTAAAATTGGAATTCTAGGACTGAGTCTCCTTCCTAAAACTTCCTGTATCCCATACATTCCTTGTTTAATTTAACTAATCACTGGAATAGTACAAAACAATCTACCCCAGAGTTGGAAAAATAGGTGTTTTACCTCCCCAGGTTTGCCCTGGGAGCATATGATTAACAGAAATTATTAATATAAGGTAATAGATATAAATTACTGTAACTTTGAATGGGTGTTTAAATGTTTTCAAATACTGTGTTATCTTTTTTTTCAATTAGAATACAGAGCGATCCAAGGACTGGTACAAGATAATGTTCAAACAAATTCACAGATTAACAAAAGGTATGTCTAATTTAAAACCTTGTATCTGTCTACTTACCTGTTTCCTCTGAGATGGAACATCCTAGTTTAGTGGGGGGAGGAGGCAGCTGAAATGAATCAGGATTGGGACTCCAGGATGTGGCTTTAAACCTTCTCCCTGACAAACCTCCCCCCACCCCACCCAAAGTACAGCTTAGCCCTGAGACAGAATTCTCCATTGCTGCTCTTGGGAGGTTCTCTCCCAGGCTCAGGACGTGGCAAGGAGAAGCAGGAATCGGACTGGACACTGTGGTCCTAACCCCTAGGCATGCATCGTACCATGTGCATCCACGCATACCCTTGGCCAACTTGCAGCAAAATGAGCGCTAGCCTACCACACTCCACTGAAGCAAATTCTCGTCTCCTTTGGAAGCACTTCTAAAGGACTGGACACTGTGGTCCTAACCCCTAGGCATGCATCGTACCATGTGCATCCACGCATACCCTTGGCCAACTTGCAGCAAAATGAGCGCTAGCCTACCACACTCCACTGAAGCAAATTCTCGTCTCCTTTGGAAGCACTTCTAAAGCAAATCCTCTTTCACTAACTTGAATCAGAATTGATACCAAAACTGCAGGAGAATTTCTCTGCCCACCATTTAGCACTAAGGACTGGTCAATATGAGACAAGCCATCATGGAATGTGTGAAGAGCACACAGAGCTGATACGCTGCCTGTGGCTGACCTGGATTCTGCATTTTTGAAGGATGGCAGCCATTTTCAGCATTGGTGTATTAAGAGTTTCCTCTAATATATCCAACTCCATTTACAGAATATCTTTCCTGTCTGTTCTTTCCCTGAAATGTGCTCTTCCTGCACAGACCCTCCTGGAGAAAACCCTTATTGCCCTACCTACATATTCCCTGAGCTTCCTGCTATTCAGCCCAAAAGCAAAGGTACTATAAGCTTAGCAAGAATATATCTTGTTTTGTGTTTGGCTAACCATAGTTTAAACTATCATACTACAGCGTGATTCGTTAGAAATTAAATGCTATTCCAAATGCCTCCTGATATGGCATTTATGGAGACTTGTTACTCTCTCTTGAGAGCAGTGGATATAACATTAGTAGCAAAGTGGGATGCAAAAACATACTGGGATAGGAAATTGGGAAGCGATATAATTCCTCCACTTAAGCATGGCTGCTGTCCAACCCCACTGCTTTTCTCTGCTGCAGAACAAAATCCTTATTCTCCTACTTACCAGTTTCCTGTGTCTACTCCTAGCCCTAAATCTGAAGGTAATTTGTTAAGATCAATCAGCTTTTGCTTTTGTACAAACGCTTCTGCTGTCTTAATTTTCCAGCTAGAGTTTTTGTAGTTGCCAATTCTCCTTTGCTGTCTCTTAATGTAGTTGCCAGCTGCCCTTTGCTCTCAGTTGCTTGATGGTGGAATCTCTTTCTTAGCTTTGCCTTGCTCTTTCGGTTTTTTTTAATAATCCCCTAATTAATGCTGTGGAGCTTGGATTTTTTTTAGTTTTGTGTTGTCAGTTCAAGATAATTATCCAGACATCTGAAATCACATACCACATGGAGACCAGTCCATTAAGCAGGGACATAACACGATAGGGACATGTTCCACTCTTATTAAGTGGAATGAAAAATCTTGAGTGCATGTTTGTGAAGGACTTCCTTACCCAGGATGAAGCCAATGCAGCAGAGTGATGGGTGCAAGACCCAGCAAGTTTTATGTGTCACCCCACATCTCCAGGGCAGTGTTCCCTACTGGAAATTGTGCATCCATATCTCCAGGGCAGCACTCTTTATGGAATGGCATAGCATTGCATCCAATTTAGAAATGGGAAGCTTTCAGCCGTGGCATTCCTGTGGGTGGAGATGAAGCTATGGCATCTTTCACTAGAGGGTAATTCTTAGAAAATTTAAGCTACTTTGGATATTATTGGTCTAGTGAGTCATGGTGGACCACATTTTTAATCCAAAGAAGGTTTGGGTCAGACATACTTCTTTGCTGTATTGCAGAAGAGGTCCCTGGCCCAGCAGTTAAGATGCTTGATACTGGATGGTTCAAGGGTGATATTTTGGTACAAAAGCCTAATTAATTCCTCCTTTTTCTACCTACCTTGATATTAGTGGCTTTGGTATCGGAACTGTTGTTTTGTGCTGTGATGAATCATTGGGCCAAATGTGATGATAAAGGTACTTCCTCTGAAGACTGAGTGGTATGATTCTTGGGGGTGGGAGCTAATAGAGGGTCATGTACCACCACTTATTTTTGGTCAGAGAAAGTGACGTGTCCCTCGTTGCATGAGAGAGTTTGCTTTAGGTAAGGTTTGTAAACTGCTGCCTTCCCTCCCTCCCTCCCTCCCTCCTTCCTTCCTTCCTTCCTTCCTTCCTTCCTTCCTTCCTTCC